ACTTTTCAATTGATTTTACTCAAAATTTGTATTTTGAAATGTGTCAGCTATTTTGTTTCTTTAATATGGACAGTGCAAATATTACGTTTCGATACAAAAAAAAAATTTCATTTTAAGACATGTTTTAAGAACATTTGGACAAATATGGGTTTTTTTCTGGAAATTTGACACGCATATTTTAATATGAAACCAATTTTAAGAGATTCACTCCTTAAAAAAAAAAATTAAAAAAATTCACAAAGCTTTTTTGCTTTTTCGGTATGGACTGCGGAATTATCATGTTTCGGTACAAAAAAAAAATCTAATTTAAAGACGTTTTTTGAGAAATTTTGGACAAATATGGGCATTTTCTGAAAAATTGACACACATATGAAACCAGTTTTAAGCGATTCACTCTTATAAAAAAATTTTGAAAAATTCACAAAGTGACCGCTCTTTATATATCAATATCTTTATTATCTTCAATATGAACTGTGAAATTATCATGTTTCGGCAAAAAAATCTCATTTAAAGACATTTTTTGAAAACTTTGAACAAATATGTGCAGTTTGACGTGCATATTTTACTTATATTTACTGCGGATATATCATGTTTCGTTAAAAAAAAATACTGATTTAAATAAATTCTTTCCGCAAATTTGCACAATTATGGGCATTTTCAAAATATTTGACGCACTTTTTTAACATGAAACCAGTTTTAAGAGCTCTGCTAGTAGTGTATTATGAGTAAGACCTTGATAATCCTAAATTCGAGGCGTAACATATCATTTCGGCCTAACTAAGCTTAAACTAGAGGTGTAACACACAAATAACACACCATATTATTAAAACCTAGCTAAGCCTAAAGGAGAGCAGTAATATAACATCAAGGCCTAGATAAGCCTGTTGTAGTGGTATATTATCATTAAGACAGTATTAAGCCTAAAGTAGATTTGTAACATACCATTAAGCCTAGCTAAGCCTAAAGTAGAGGTTTAACATACCATTAAGGCGTAGCTAAGCCTAAGGAAAAGGTGTAACATACCATTAAGGCTTAGCTAAGCCTACTATCCAGCTAAGCCTAAAGTAGTAGTATATTATCATTATTATCTAAAGAAGAATTGCAACATATCATTTAGGCTTATCTAAGATTAAATTAGAGGTGTAACATATCATGTTGGTCTAACTAAGCTCAAACTAGAGGTGTACGCACCAATAAGGCCTGGCTAAGCCTAAAATATAGGAGCAACATTATATTAAGGCCTAGCTAAGCCAAAAGTACTGGTATAGTATCATTAAGACCATAAGTCTAAAGTCGAGGTGTAACATATCACTTAGCCTTGGTAAAGCCTAAACTAGAGGTGCAACATACCATTTACTTCCTAACTCTGCCTAAGGAAAAAGGTAGTAATATACCAGTTAAGCCCACCTAAGCCTAAAGTACTGGTATATTATCATTAAGACTAAGCTGAGTCTAAAGTAGAGGCTCAACATATCTAGCTAAGCCTAAAGTATAGGTGTAACATGCTATTTTTGCCTAGCTAAACCTATAGTACAGGTGTAAGATCTAATTAATGCCTAACTAATCTGAAAGTAGAAGAGTTACATGCCATTAAGGGTTAGATAAGCTTATGCAAAAGCTGTGACATACCATTAAGGCCTATCTAAGCCCAAAGGAGAGGAGTAACATTCCAGGCCTAGCTGCACCTAAAGGATATATGGAAAGCTTTTTTTTCAATTTATGTTTTCTGAATGAATCAATGATTATATACTAACTAATCAGTTGCTCTTTTTTCGTCTCACGTTTGTAAAACCTTTTTATTCATGTTTGTGGTCATTATTATTGTATGTTTAAGTAACTTTATTAAATGGTCCATACAGTCTGAATCACAGTTTGTGTATGCTATTTAGTACTTAAGTTCTGATGTCTCATAAAATGAAGTTTAAACTGAAAGCAATATTTTTTTTCTTCAAAAAAATTCAGCAATGAAATTCTGATATTTCTTAGTATAATGTTTATAATTACCACGAACTTTACTTAAAACTTATTTTTATCAAAATTTTTAATATAAAATATCTGTTCAGTTAATATACATTTCATGTAGGCTGAAGAGTTTAAATTTATAACTTAAAAGATCACCCACTTCATTTGTAGCGAAGAGTGGGTGTTGCCTCAAGCTAATGTTTCAAAATATAATCTAATTACACAAAAGATGGGTATTAAAAATCAATTCAGACAATCGAATAGCATTAGAAATTTTAAACCTATTTACAAATATTATAACTTATTTATAACACTGTCCTCTTAATATTTGTTTTTACAGATAGATAGTTTTTCGATATTCCGCTGACAAATGCAAATGGCTCTATTATTTTAATTAACTTAATAAGATACATATTAATTAAACTTATTAACAAGTTATAAAAGTAACTATAAAGAACTAGATTATCTGATATAAACTCTTTCTTAATTTCTCTTTGTTGGTATTTCTTTTGCTTTTAGAATCCCAGTTATAAAATCTATTTAAATTTATAAAATTTATTAAAAGGTAATGGTAATTGATATTATAAATAGGGTACATATGTTTGATTATAAAAGTATTTAGAACATCAACTAATAGCTATTAAAAGTTATTTATATTGGTATCTTTTCTTTTTATGCAATTGTATCTATTCAATTGTATCGTGCCTTTGTATTGTTTCTTATTATCCATTCAACTGAAATATTTAATACAGATATATCTAATAAAAAGTTAGTTCACTTAAAGGTAGTTGGTTAATTAGTGCTAATGATATTTTAAGTTACAAATCTGACATAAAAAAAAAAGCACTTTCCTTGAATATTTCTTCCTTTAACGGATTTGAGTTCCTGACACTTAATCTAGAAAATATTAGCCAATAATTTAAGCTGAATAACAGCTGTAAATTTTTGACTTGTAATGCCAATTTCATTTACTGTATATTGTGCGATCTCTAAGAAGTCGTATTTTTTTCTTTTTTTTAAATCCTTTTTCTGTTCAAAAACAATTTGACCGATTCCATTCAAATTTTGGATTTAATCTCTTAGATTTACGTAAATGAAATAGGCATAAATAGTAAAATATAAAATAACTAGGAGGCTTCGCCCCCTGCTCACTGGCGCTCGCCAACCCCCGGAACTGCTTTCGCAGTTCATTTCGGATTGTTTCGCAATCCGATGCTCGCTTTGCTCGCTCATTGGATACGTTCTTAACGTCTAGCTTTTGTATACTTTTTTGAACACTGAAGTTCCGAAAACTTTTCACTGTAGAAAATTCTAAACCTGTGCATTTCAATATTAATTTGAAATTGAAAGCAGTTCTAATATTTTTCTTAATCACACTATTCTAAATTTCAGTTGTTGAGAAAAGTAACTGTTGTAAGTTTTGTTTTAAAGTCTTTCCCACCAGAGGGCTAAAACCATGTGTTGTAAAACAATATGAAATAGTACTGAATGCCGGGTGTAAAGCATTGGCTTCGATGAAGATAATTTTGTGAGAATGTTTTTGATAATTCGGTGAGAATTCACCCGATTATACATATGATACTCACTACGTGCTCTTGCGCGCCGAAGCCTATCAATTAAAACGCATTAGCGTTTTATATAATATAGATTAGCCATATGATGCTCACTACATGCTCTTGCGCGCCGAATCCTATCAATTAAAAATGAAAACTGTTGCCAACGCGAGAAAGGAAATATCGGTTTTATTGATACATGCGTATTAGCGTTTTATATAATATGCTCACTACGTGCTCTTGCGCGCTGAAGCCTATCAATTAAAACGTATTAGCGTTTTATATAACATGGATTAGCCATATGATGCTCACTACGTGCTCTTGCGCCCCGAATCCAATCAATTAAAAATGAAAACTGTTGCCAGCTCGAGAAAAGAAATATCATCGGTTTTATTGATATATATGTACGTATTAGCGTTTTATATAATATAGATAATAAATAATGTAAAGTTGGTGAAAATTTACAAAAACGCTCTTTTTCATGTATTATGATCTTTGGAAAAATAAGTTTAATAATTGTGCACAAAAATATTTTGATTACTTTATTTATTTAAGAGATTTAGTGAAATTCGCAAAAAGTAAGATTGATATTAAGGGGTCAAAACTTTTGACCGCTGTCCTGTTTAAACTAATGCGACCATCTTTTCCATTCCATACGTAAACCCATATTTTGAGGATCAAGAAATCAAAACAGTCGAAAAAATACTAATTTATTCAGAGGAAATACGTTTTTTTTGTTTTGCTTGCTGTTTTGTTTCATATCACGGTTTGAGCCGGTTTCGATTTCCCGTGATAAAGGACTTTGAACGAATAGCACTTTCTCAGTTAATTGTCCAGAATCCACTCCAATGCAATATCTTCAGCGTGGTGTGGAGACGGGTGATGACTACCTTCGTCTGTCTTTCAATAAAAATTATGTTTATGCAGTGTGCGCATACGAAAGCATTGTTTTTAAATTATGCTTATATATGAATCCCAGACCATCACCAGAAGCCCATTAATGAATCTATAGTGCAACGTTTACAACAAAATAAATTCGTTTCGCCTCAAACTTACACTATATATAGGTACATTGGTATGGCTGTTAAAATTGCGCATTCAGTACTGGCAAAAAAATCTTAATTACTACACGTATAGATTTTTTTTCATCAGAAATCATAGCACGAATTAAATTAAGCACAGTTAATTGCCTAAATTGAAATTTCTGCATCATAATTAAATGCTGGAACTAAAAAATATAATTTTAAGCAATAATTATATATCTAAACAGTAAGGGAACATTGGATCAGCCTTAACTAAATAATTTTTGACACTATAGACTTAAAGTTTTAAGCGCAAATTATAAATATAAAATAACAAGCTGAATTTTGTGGAGGTAAATGAAAAGATAAATGTATTTTTCTGCTGGCATTTTAGAGCACTAATTACAAATATTCAAATCATGTTTGTTTGTGGTATTTTTCGTACAGAGACAAATAAAGATAATATTTTTGGAAAAGTGTTTAGTTTCTTTCATTCTTGGGGAAAGTATATACACAGATGGTTTGTAATTGAGATATATACAACATAAATTATTAACAGAATAGAATTGAACGTAGAAGGCAACATATCATGATACAACAGCAAATGCATATTACATCAATTAGTCAAAAACATGAACGGATGGTAAATTATAAATCTATTTGGGAACATAGAAATTTATTGTTTCTTAACCATCCCGGATAAATGGTGCAAAAATTTCTTGAATATTCCTCGCACAACAACAAATTAATTTTAATCTTAAATCATAAGAGTATGCTTCAAGATATCACAAAAAGTTAATTCATAAAAGGAAGCTAAAAGCGAATACACAATGTTCAAGTAACATTTATTTTTCCTCTTTTCGTTTTCTTGGTTGTTATTACTTTTAACTTTATGGGCGTTCTAATTCGGCTGCATTCTCAAGATTCTTAAAAAAAGAAAGTAAAAAAAAAAAACTACTTTATACAGGGTGCATTTCAGTTACTGTTCTTTGACCTTTCAATTCTTCCGGAACATGCCCAGCAAATATTTCTAAATCAGTCAATGCGGTTAAATAGCGTGACATTTATTAGAGTGCATCTTCTCGGTTTCCTGTGATTGTATTCATATGTTGGAGTATTTTCTCCCCGATAGATGGCAGCAGCTGAATTTTTACTGCATTTTATATCATTACCTTAGCATCATTAGTCCCATCTCCTCAATATTACCTATAATTTAGTTTTTGTTTTTATTTTGACAGATTTTTTTTCTCTTTAATTTTTTGACGTAATTGCTTTTTTAAAATTTAGTTATTGTTTGAAAAGATAAAACATTTACTGAAGGAATTAATATTTTAGAATCTTTGTTAAGAAGAACAATAAGGAAGGATTTGTTTAGTTAAGTAAAACATTACACAATACTGGAGACAGTTTAGTATTTATTTAAGAAAAAATGAAAGCATTATCACAATCTAACGAATCATAATTGAAGTAAACCAAAGGTACAATTAAAATCAGCAAGTCTTCTTTTCTGAGATAAAAGTCTAAGTTATAACTTCCATGAAGTAGAAGCATTATTTGGTACTCCTCTCTGTTTCATCAGACTCATCAACAGTTTTGATGGTATTAAATAAATTTAAGCGTGATTGATCTCGATAAATATTTGTCAAATTTTGATAATGTTTTACTTTCTTTTATTATTTTTATGTTTTAAGTGTAATAACTATGTTTATAATCATAGAATCATTAGGAAATTATCGAACACCCTGTGTATTAACAAATGAAAAGAATGTTCATAAAAAATTATCATACTGAAATTTATATTTCTTAAAACACATTTAATTGATAAAAAGTTTTTCAAAGAGTTTTTTTTTTTAGTTCAAATTTAAAAACTATAACATTAAAGTAGAATTATTTATTGAGTATTCGCTTTTCTAAAATTAGAATAAATCACAATATAAAAACATATAATGTGTTTGTTATGGACAGCAAATCTGCTGTATTGCATGTACAAATTGTGAAATTTATTAGGAAGTATATATATATATATATATAACTCTTTTCTACAGGGTTATGGTACAGTTTAAGAACAACGCTTATTATTTAATACATGTAAACACGATATTTATTACCGCTTGACGAGAAAAATCCAAATTATTTCTATCAGTAACTGTGATAAACTTCCTCAGTTAGGAAATTTTTAAACGTTTTTTTTATGACAATAATTGTTCGAAACCACATTTCAAAAGTTCGCTTACAAAATATCCTTTTTATCAACAAGGGAAAGTTTATTTTGTTCCAAATTTATATTTTCAAAATCCAAAAACTTGCTGCATTGTTAATCGATGGTTCTCTCAAAATTGTCTATCAGTCCATTCATATAAAATTTTCACTTTCACTTGAGTTAAATTTTAATAATTCAAATACACTTTCATTTCTTTCTCCTAGATGGCGGTGAGAGCTCAGCAAGTCATCTTTGGCGATCGATTAGGTTTCTCTCCACCAACTTTCCATCATTAAATTTTTGAAGCCGTGCATAGATGGCGCTGATAGACATGCATTCTTAGTTATTAATGCGGTTGTCATGGCGCGGGCTGTGTCCTTAAATTTTGGTTTATATCCAATTTGATCCAGTTTTGTGACATTTAGTTACGCTATTGCATGAAAAAGGTAAACCTTTTGCAGAAGAGTTGAGTTTATCACCGTTTGTTAAAAATGAAAAGAGCGACATTAACGACTAGAAGGATGAAAGTATTCCAAGAACCTGGAAGACAACACCCAGAAGATGTGTGTTTGCCATGCTGCATTGCCGCTGGATGCTCACCTAAAAATAAAAACAGTTTATTCTTTCATTTGATATACATTAATTACACATATTTATCACATATAAATAATGAACATACTAACTCATACACATTTTCACACTCATACTCATACACATTCATATTCAGAAACCTATTTGTTATAAAAGCTCTGTTAATTTTTCGATATTGACCATATTCCGGTCAGTACCCAATGCCCTTTAGGTTAGCAGTTCTGTGAAGTTCTAATCTCTCTCTCTCTCTCTACTCTCTGTATATATATATATATATATATANATTCCTATACAATAAATCATTGTTACAATGTCCTGTACCTACCATTAAAGTTTGTACCATGAATTCGGGACCACCCTGTATATATATATATATATATATATATATATATATATAGATAGATAGATATAGATATATATACATAGATATATAGATAGATAGATAGATAAAAACCATAAAACACTAAAACTCTAAATTTGTCAATAAATTTATTTATCTTTTTAAAACTATTTTCATTAGAAAATTTTTGTTAACAAGCATATGGCTCAAACAAGATGTTTGACGCAGAGCAAACTATGGTTTTCAAATAAATTTAAAAATGAAGTATTAGATCATTAAAATTTAAATATTCTTTGTTGGAAATAACAAATGTTTTACCAATGTAAAATGTTCTCTTTTTAAAAATGAAATCTCGGCACATAAAAATTATCAAAAATATAGAAATTTTTTTTTAACTATTTTCTTAGTTTTATTATCTATTGCCTTATCAGAATAATCCTTAGAAAACATGAAAAAAAAAGAAAAGAAAAAAAAAAACGAAATAATTGCAGCCCATCTGCGCACATTACTTATAATAAAAATAATGCGAATATTTTATTTCATTTTTTTTGCAAATATATCAATCAGATCAATTTTATAATTATGTAGTTTTAAGATAAGGCGAAAGTAATGGAACCATTTTAAAATCTATCCAAATTTATTCTTTCAAAAGTTGTTTTATTAGTCTTTGTGTTATTCATTTGTTTTAAATAACATTTTCCTTTTCATTTAAATCTTAGCTCGCATATTTTTAATACTACTGTATGAACCTAAATATCGAATATTTTTTTACATTACATCCATTATTTCTTCGTAAATTTTAATCTCCTAATCCAATAAATACAAGGTCTTATGTCAACGAAAAAACTAACTATATTACCAATGATTGCTTTTAGTTTATTTTAGGTGACAGTGCTATTTCTCGAATTTAAGATCAAGTTTTATTCGAAGTTAATTAATTTTAAGTAATATAATAATATTTTTCTGAGTTAAAACAAGTAAATTTCAAATCCATAAATTTAAATAGTTTTTACTGTTTTAAGATTCGTGTAATTTTTTCCCTTCAAATATTTGCCGATAGTCTATGCTTGTTTTCTGTTTTGTTGACTCGAAAGTTAAACACATTTTGGAGTAATAGATTGTTATATTTCGTCTCTAACAGATCATTGCATTTGAAATATTGAAGATTTGCGTATCGAATTTTGAATAATGACTTTGGGGTAAAATGCTTATTCCAGATGTTAAAAACTGAAAAGTAAACAAACTTTCAAAACACTGACGAAAAGATTTTTTTAAAAAAAGAAGTTAATCGAAGATAATTTTATATTCTGTATAAGTTGAAAATTTTTTCTAGGGCTGCGAAAAGTCTCGGCATATTAGGTGAGGAATAAGAAAAAAAGAGTTAATAAAGGAAAAGGAAAATTAACACAATTATGCACGTTATTTACGTACATTTTTTGTTTTTTAATATAAACTTTTATTATTATAAAAATAATAAATCTTTCGCTTATTGAAAATATTAAACGAATGTGGCCTTTTGTTTATCAATAATATTAAACGTCCTGAAATTAACTGGAAAATTACTCAAGCAAATCTTGGTTAAAATGCTTTTTTTTCTTCGTTATTTGAAGAAATTGATAATCATTATAAATTTAAGAATGAGTACCAAATTTTGAAGAAACCTTATCAAAATATGAAAATAAAAGAAATTTTGAGATAAACAATTTCTCTGTGAAATTCCGAACAAATACTTCTGGGTTTAATTTGAAAAATAAAAATACTATATACAAAATCAATAGAAAGCTTGATGCGGGTTCATAAATGCTTTAAAAAATGAACGCTTAAAAATTATTTCTACACAGATACAAAAAAGTATTGTAAAAAAAACTAGAAAATGGGAAGTTTTTCTGTGTTTCGTGCTCCTTGGGAATAATTTCAGAAAATTTTACCAAACACTTTGTAAAGGACTTTGGTAGAATTGATAAAATTTACGTGATAAAGTTTGGTCATTTTTCATGATTCATTAAGGCATGGCATCAAAACCATTATTCGGTAAAATTTGCTCTTCAGTTTTGTATTTTTTACTAAAGACGTGGTAATAAGAACTGTAATTAAAAAAACCAGAATTTCCGGTAAACGATTTCCATATGTACAGAAAAATTTAAAAACGAATGGTTTAAATACCTTATATTTTAGCTTTATCAACCTGAATTTTGTTTTTTGAAATGTCATTAGCATGCAAACTTATTGTTGCGAGTTCGTAATTCAATTATTGAACCGTCCCTAAAAGCAGGACTTTAGGGTATTAATGTTTCAATTAGTTTACACAACACATTTTATTCAAGCATCAAAGATTGCATTATTGCATGATAATATATTTCTTCTTACCATTAAGTACATGCAATCCAATGGCAGCCGGATCAGCATTGGAAGGTACACAAGAATAATTTCCGGAATCGCTCGGTTGAGCATTACTGATGAGTAATTTGCTGGTGGTGCGCTGAGCTTTTTCTGTGTGGACGCTGATGCCCCTTGGTGAATCGTAGTTGATGACCTTACCATTATGGTACCAAAAGACATAGTCAGGTGGTACAGGACTTTCCATCACAAGACACGTCAAATTAATAGTGCTTCCACTGTTTATGTATAGAGTTGGACCACCGATTATTTTGGCTTTACTCTCTGAAAATAAAATTGGAAGAATTATTATATTGAATTTTTTCATTGTTTATCTTATTCAATAGTTCATGATTTAAAAGCAATAGGAATTTCGTATAACGAGATTCTAGAATTATCGAGATTCCGGATTTGACAAAGAAAATGAAATATATTATTTGGTAACATTATTAATTCGAAATAAATTTCGTACAATATATTAGAACAATGACAACAACAACTTATAGAGAACAATGTTGTTGTTTTTTTTTTACTTCTTCACGAATGCAACGAAGAAGATAATTTTGGAAACATAGTATATAATGTGAGACATACACTAAAAAAACCTTTCTAAAAATTAGAAAGTGAGGAGATGTCCAATCTGGAAGCTGAACTATATCACTGGAATAAAGTAATTAATTTTTACTTGCGCTCTTCCCATTGGACGATTCATACGAAGGAGTTATAGAGAGTAATTAATAGAAACGTATTTCTATTGGTTGCTATCTGTAACTCATTGATTGATTGCCAGTGGACAGATAAGTGACGTGAAGTCAGCTTAAACATTTCTGGAGAGAGTAGGAAGAAGACTCTTTTCTTAGAATATGTACTAATACTGTTGGATTATTACGATATTTTATATAATTTATATTTTATTAAATCTGTAGAGAATACTTATGTTGAAACATTTAACATATGAAAAACCTTTTTAAAAATTAGAAAGTGAAGAGATGTCTAAGTAAAAGATGAACTATATCACTGAAATAAGGTAATCAATTTTTGTTTGCGCTCTTCCTATTGGACGATTCATACGAAGGAGTTATAGAGAGCAATTAATAGAAAGTATTTCTATTGTTTGCTATCTGTAACTCATTGATCATTGATTGATTGCCAGTGGACAGATAAGTGACGTGAAGTCAGCTTAAACATTTCTGGAGAGAGTAGGAAGAAGACTTTTTTCTTAGAACATGTACTGATACTGTTGGATTATTACAATATTTAATTTAATTTATATTTTATTAAATCTGTAGAGAATACTTATGTTGAAACATTTAACCTAAGGTTTTATGACCAAAATTAAATAAAACAAAATTTTGCAAAATTTCATTGGCTAAATATTTTTACTTCTCTATTAAAATTATTTGAAAGTGTTTCACGCTAATTGATTTTTTGGAATAAAGATTTTGTACTAAACTTGTATTCGGTTTTAAAGAGCGATTGGATTTAACGAACATTCTTACTTCTCGTTAAATACTGGTGTCAATATAATGATATCTGTATTGATTATTTTAAGTGAGGTAGGATGGTTTTTCAAAGTATACTTAAAGGTCTACAAACCATGCTTTTCTAAGGTGAAAAAGAAAAATCCGTGAATTTATTTTGATAAAAATTTTATTTTTTCTTTCTCTAAAAATCAGGGTTTTCTAAAGCATTTTGCATTGTGCTGGTGCTGGATAGCCGAGAACGTTACCAGTATTTTTTAATCAGGTTAATACTTTTAAAGTTATGGCTCATTTTCAGACACATATAGACATTGCACATATATTCAGGGATAGTCAGACTGATAGCAAAATAAATAAATTACTACTTAAATAGCCTTATTTATTCGATGTCACTTGCGCAGAGCCTGGATATTTTAAGCTATTTATTTTTCGCTCTTAAGAAGTAGCTTGATTCGCCATATATCCCCATTTGAAGAGTTACTCGTCGCAGTAAGCCTAAGCAAATTCAAACTGAACTCAAGATAAAATTTTCATGTATGTTTTAATTGGCCAAAAGGCATACAAGTTTATTGTACTAAGCCTAAAGGATATCAGGCTGAACTGGAAAAAAAAACTGGATACATTTTATTGGTCTGGTTGCATAAAAAAATGATACTGTGACTTTTAATCATATTAATTGGGAGCTGTTTATTGACTCCCATTCAAAGAGCCGTTGGGGTATATCTTGTCTGTTATTTACAATAAAAGAAAATTTGTAAACGATGTTGTTAAGTACTAAACAGTTTTTAATAACTCCCATATTGTAAAAATACTTATTACTACTCATAGATTAATTCTGTTTGATGACTCCTTTTAAAAGAGTTGTTGAAATTTGTCTTGTCTACTACTTATAATTTTTCAAAAAAAAAAGTAATAAAAATTTTATTTATTACACTGATATATGAAACATGATTTAATTTTTATTATGGCGTTACAACTTAAAAAAATTACGTCTTGCTTGTTAAATAACTTTGTAAGTTAATTTACAACATTAATTTGCGCTTAAACATATTTTATGATGTTTTTAATAGTTTTTCTTATAATCAGAATATTTTTAATATGCTTTTTAATGTTTTTTTTAATACGCGTTTCATAATGTATGATCTTTTTATGGTTTTTTTATGATCTATATATTTTTATTTTAACTTTTGGTATTTTTAAAAGTATCAGTATTAATTGTTCACTTCTCATATCTTTTTAAAACGAGATTACTTGTTAAACCACTTTGTAAGTTCAATTGCAACAAGAGTTCAATTTCTGAAGTTTTTAATGGTTATCCCTACGATTAGAATATTTTTAATACATATTTTATTGATTCTTTTTTTTAAATGTACATTTCATATTGTATGACCTTTTTAGTGGTTTTCCCTATGATCTAGATACTTTTATTGTAACTTTTTGGAATATTAAAACTATCAGCAATAACTTGTAATATTTCAATTATATGATTGTGCTTGTTGAGTTGAGAGTGATTCAGTTATATGATATAACTGGTTATATGATTTTTCGAATGATCTGGATATTTTTAACATGCATTTTAATGCTTTCAAAACCATTCACAAAATCGATTACGTTTCAGACTTGTTTTCTAAAGGTTCTCCCAACGATTTGGATATTTTTAATATGCCTTTATCATTTTTAAAAATATTTATCAAAATGGATTGCTTTTGAATAATTTACTAAATGTTTTTTAAAAATTTCTTGTTTCTTCTAGCACAGTAAGTAAAAAAATAAACAAAAATTTGAATTTTACTATTTCAAAAAAGAAGGATATCTCTTAATGCACACCTGAATCACATCAAAATTGAAACTAATTTCCATCTTTTGATTGCTACTTATCTTTATAAAATTAAATAGCATCTAGATTATCATTTGCAAACGTTTCATTTCAATTATCTTTTAGAAATATCTGTAAGTAGCTTTTAATATTGGTTTAATACCATTCATTGTTTAAATTCGAACAAAAATTAAAATTAGTAGCCTATTTTTGTTATTTTTCCTTTTACTCAGACATTCAATTGAAAGCTTAAAAAAACGCTGTCATTTTCAAAATTATTTTCGATATTTATGAAAGAGTAAATTTAATTGCTCAGTATTTTAATAAATCTAGCTTAAAAATGACTGAATTTCTCCTATGAACTGCTTTCTATAATTTTGGCAATAAACAAGTTAAGTACTCTAGGCTTTCCGAATAACTATTTCAATTCCCATTCAACATTTCATCAACAATGTTTAGATACGTCCTTTTATAATCCAACCTCCTTCCGCCATTCCGATTTAATATCGAATGCAAACATTCCACTCCTTTGCCACCCTTTCTTTTTTTCGATTTCGAATATCATTTCGAATCTTCTTCTTTAAAATCCATTTTAATTCTGAATTAAAATAAAAAGCGAAAAGGGTCTAAAAGAAAATAGAAAAAGACGTGCGGAAAGGGTCACATCTTTATCGGGAAGGAATCTCTAAGGCGAAATGGCGTTTCTCTAGTAATTTAGGCGTCCAAGAAAACAAGTTGAAATTGTTTGGATAAGCATAATTGAGGGTTCCATTTAACGGCTTTAATGTTATTTGCTGAAGAGAAACTCTTTAAAAACTGAACTAGAGAGAAATACCAACACTTCTAGCCAGAAAATAAGTATGAAAAAAAAAAAGTACTAAAGTACACGGGAGAGAGCTAGTTACTGATGGGGTACTTAAATGAGATAATTACCGTAATGGTATTTCATTTGGCGATTTTCCGTTTTTGTTTTTTCTTTCATTTCTACAAATGCATTGAATTTTCACTCGTTTCATTCCTCTTGAGTATTTCCCTCAGTGAATGTGATATGCTGCAATGCGGCCTCAAATAAGTGGAAGTGGCTTATTAAGAAGAAGAAAACAAAATCGCCAACTTTGGCGAGTATATAGAAAGAATGAAGGAACGAAATGTAATTTGTCTCGAGTTTGTTTTTGTTCCGATTTATTGCCAAAAGTAGTTGAAGGATTTAATCTAATAAATCAATCTATTGACTGTGTTGGCGAGTTGAGTTATATTAAGCCTCATTGATGTCCAAAGCCGCAGTTATTGGGATTAAATTTTATTGTGAAATGTCGCACTAATAGGGAATTATATTTATTGAATGAGATTATGATATTTTATGATCATTAAAAATAATCTAGCTTTCGTCTTTTTTTCATTTAATTAGGATTTGTTTTAATTAAGAATCTACGTTAAAAGTGCTATTTTATTATTATTATTTTTCCGTTTAAGTAATAAAAATAGCGAATATATCTTTTTTTAAATGGTTTTTTATAGTTTTCCTACAATGTTATTTTTTTAAGTGGAGTTTACAAACAATTTCATTTAAAATGAAATATATGCGTCTGCTCTATACTCCGAAGTAAGCATATTCTCTTTTCTTTAATAAACAACGAATGCTTTTGATTTTTTTTAGAATTGTTATTTTTGATTTTCATATAACTAATAGTCTGTTACAGATAAAAAATATTTAAATGTCAATTGACTAAGGAGATATTTCCAAACTTTTATAATTAGTGGCCGATAAAGCAAAATAAAGATAAAAATTGGATAAATATTTCCCATCTCCACCTTTTATCTGAATAAATTATATTTGCTGTACTATTTTACTCATCGTTTGCTCCAAAATGTTTGTGTCCTTATAAAATTTAAATATGGGTTGAAATGAAATAAAATATGTATTGTATGATTTCTGTTGAAAAATAAAAGAAATCAACGAAATATTAAATAATAATAATAATATGCTA